ACATTTTTTACAAATTGATATTTTTGAAGTTACTCGAATATCCAACATTTCATTTTTCACAATAATTCTTCAAATAACAATTATTAGATCTAAAGATTTATCGTCAGAAAAACACATCGTCATGGATATTTTCAAGAGTAATCGCAAAAAACATTTTAAAAAGTATTTCTGAACTTTTGGTTTGGAGTGTACATAATTACGCTGCGTATCATTACAATAATTTCACACAACGACGAGATAATAAATTTCTACATATTGTTACAACTAAAAAAAAACGAGCGAGAGAGAGAGAGAGAGAGAGGGGGGGGAAGGAAGGGAGAAAAGGAAGTCTCGTCGGTCGGTATGTTTGAAGTCACGCTGAATCGCGAAGGGTTAAGGAAATAAGACGTGCCTTGACCTACGGTGTGCAACACACGGAGAAGAGTAGCGCGGGGAGCAAGCGCGCGAGTAATCGAGTATTTCTGCCGACCGTGTTCACGACTATTATTGTCTCTCGTCCCCTTCGCCCTCGATAGGGTATGCAATCTCCTTCTTCCCTTATCCTCTGTCGCCGTTTTCTTTTTCCTCGCCGTCCTCTTCGTCTTCTCGGCCTTCGGTGCTCGCGTCGACATGCGGGAGCCTATTCCCTGATTATCCACGCTTTCGCGGACTATCCTCGCCTACGGATACCAACGCCCCGGTATTTCTCACCCACGTGATGCTGTCGCTGGTAGCGGTAAATAGAGAACGAATCTTGCGGACGAGATCCGCGCCCACGGTCTCGTCGCGTTCGCAAGAATAAGATTCGCGCGGACGATGACCGGAAGCGAGAAGAACCACCTGAAAGGTCACGGCTCGTCGTTTACCTCGCCCGCGCTTGGACTCAACTCGCAAGGCGTGTCTCATCGGATTAGCCCTGCAAAACGGGCTGCCCGCCGGGAGGAATGAGGAAGCGGGATGCTTAGATATTGACAAACAAACGTGTCGCGTCCCATGAGAATTCTGCACGAGACATTCTCAAGAGAGAACTCAACATCCGGGTTGGAAGATGCGGTGAAATTCCGTGGTTGAATCGACGCCGCGATCGCTCCCTTAAAAGTCAAGCATATAAGAAGTCTCGCGCCGATATTAAAAGTTGACTCTAAATCGGTGTGATGTCGATGCGCACGTGCGCTTGGGCGTGAATTAAGTGCCGTCGTTCCCGTGGCTGTTTGAAATTCAGAATAATACGCAGGTAACTGACCATCGTATTATGGAAGTTGTATTTCCTGCTTATCGTAACGTTCCCCTATTTATATCGTGTTTGCGCGCTAGGCATAACGAAAAAATTTGCACGAGTACCAGTCCGTTGTGCCGAGATCGAACGCGATATTCCGCGGATACTATACCCGCCCACGTTTTCTTACATTCCGATTTTTCATTGTGATAATATTGCCGATGACCAGAAGAATGAGAAATTTCCTCCTCTGCGCTCGGAATCGAGTTACTCGATTGCGAGATATGAATCTCATTAAGTAACGATTTCAGCGTCAGGAAAGCATCAACCAGAAAATCAAACAGAATTAATTTAAATTATATATAAAAATTTCGCATTTTTCTTTTTTCATCTTGAAATTATTATAGCGAGATATTTTTCTTTGAAATTCTAGAAATGAGATTTTTTTGTTCTCTTTTTATGCTGTAATATTGTTTATTTTTATATAATTTTTATTAAAAAATACGTAAGTTTAATTATCGATTTTACAACTTTATCTCGATTTTCCGTTTTTTAAATTTTTGTTTTATGCTCATGGAGACTTATAATTAGTGAAGTCAAAATAACCATATTAATTTATTATTTTTTTATTCATTCATTTAAGAATAAATTTATTTTTATTTTTTAATTTTCTTAATTGGATTGTGTTATTTTAATTTTATCCCTCTTTATCTGCATATATATATATATATATATATTGAATCTAAATAATTATTAATATATAATATTTCAGGTTATAATATTATTAATATATTTCCAAATTTTTTAAGAATATTATATTTTTTATATAGGGTGTTTCTTAATGCCCACTAATCATACTGTGCTATTTCTAATAAAAAACTAAGTCAAAAAGTCCTATATCATTGCAATTTTTGCAATAGTTAACGAAATATTAAATTTCTAAACATTACTGAATAAACAGATAAGATCGATGCATAAAACAATTTTAAGATTTTATCTTTAATGTTCTTTGTGAAATATTTTGAAGATGTTTCTTAAAGAACTCTTAAAGATACTTTAAAATTATCTTACACGTCGATTTTAAACATTTTGCTCATTGGGTAAGTAAAAAAAAAAATATTGTGAAAATTGCAAAATGGTAGAGGACTTTTTGATTCAGTTTTTTTATTAGGAATGCACTGTATGATTAGTGGGCGTTATTTCAGAAACACCCTGTATATATTAATTAATTTTTTAAACATTATTTTTAGCATTTCCTAAATAAATTGTCATTCGGGTTAACTTTATAGCTTCGAAAAGATTCGAATCTTTGAAAACAATCAAAAGTAACAGCCTTATTTGAGAGTCTGTGTTGTTCTTAGAGAAACAAGATATATGCAAATGCTCGTAATGTCGGGTTTACACATTGCAGCAGTGGACAGGTTGATTCCCTGCGCCAACCCTTTATGTCATTATAATACTCGCTCGAGGCACGCGTGAATATCATACACTGCGTGTACACGCGCGAGTCCGGGTCATCAAGCCGGCACCGCCAAGGACGAGGGTCGTGTGATTTTATTGTGCCAGAGAAGGGATTCCTGGACGTCTGCGGTCTGCGGCGCGGAAAAAAAGGGGGTAAAAAGGCCACGGCAGGCGAACAATTCTGCCGAACACGAACGCGTTGTGGCCCTGATCAAGGCCAATTGAGAGTTTCTCGCGATTGAAAAATCGCAACTGCCGGCGATCATCAGGCACAATCTCGCTTCTAATCGCGCGCATAAATCGCGAGTCTACGGAGGAAGAAGCGAAACGTGCTGGGTCACGTTTCAAAGGCAAATTATCCGGAAAGGATCTCAGATTTGCGCCTTTGATTTTGTATTTTTGTAATAAAAACTCGAATTCTCTTAAATAGGTGGTGGTATTTTTATACGGCTGATCTTCAGCCACATAAATCCGACACTATGGGATCTAAAGATCTGAAGATCTCTGAGCATTTCGTATATTAACGTCTGAAAAAGCGTTTGTGTGTCACTTTAATTTTATTGTAGAGTAAGATAATACAATAATTTCGAACATGATATAATTCTGAACAAAATAAGATTTATACTTAATTTTCTAGATTCAAATTTGTTTTTTTTTATCTAAGGTGATATCTTTGATACCTTTGATGACATTAGAGTTACCACAAATGTAGGTGACTTGGGCATTTATTTCTGTTAAATTCATGGTATTCATCCACAAGTCAGTAAAGAAAATTTAAATTAAATTTGGTACTGTCCCAAATCATCTATTTTTACGATGCTAAATTTGAACTTTGAAATTGGATTCAAATTTTATTTTATTCAAAATTGTACCATGTTCGAAATGGCACCACCTCCCCTTATTATTATTAATTATACATTTACACATATTTGTTGTATATAATTTATTGCAAATGTAATAGAGAATAATGGGCAGACGTCAGGAAGGCACTAAATGCAAACCTTTTACGAACTTGTTGCTGATATAAATACGCAGTTTCTTAAATGTATGCTCCACGGTAGAAGAAGCAATAAGAAGAGCAACAAGTCAGGCTCTAGTCTCCTCCCCTGGCGCACCACCAAGAAAATTAAAGGCATGTTACTTGATCCTGTTCGCAAACTTATGACATGTATGAGTTTCGATTCGGTATGCGCTTTATTAAACCGCGCGCATTAAACCTAAGGAACAAGCTTCATCTCAAAAGCAAATACGTACTCGCGCGTATTTATAAAACGAGGCAAGAACGAGACAGCATTTACCGAGAGCGGATCCTGATGTCCTTGACGTCGATCGACGTAGCAATTATAATGATGACATTACACTAATAATGAGAACGCGAATCCTCTCGCTTGTAAACTATCGAACTACTTTTCAAAAAATCTTTTAGCAGAAGTATCTCCCTGGACTAGCGCGAGACAAGTTCGAAAGACTTCCCTGAACTACTTTTTCCCTTAGGTTTCTACATTCCTTTGAATTATCATGGACTAAGTAAAGAATCCATCGTAACCGGAACAAGGCTTTCGCGCAAGAACCTCATTAAAGTGCATCACAGCATTGCAGATTAAGCGAGGTTGAGCGTAGCCTCCGGTAGCCCGGGCTTACATTACAGTCGAAGAAATTCCGTATCTCCGCGATTGGGATCGTTGAACGACCTCGAGTAAGTCGAACCAGTTCGGTCTGTCCGACGTTCCCGCTTCATTCAATTCCCGCCTCATTCTAACGATGCCTTAATTGTGGTATCGTGTAAAAGTTTCTGCGCCACACGTTATAAGAATAATTACAACCTACCGGAGATTCGTTGCAAAAGATTGAACGTTCGCTCCTCCCCATTATAATCGGTTTCGAATTAAATGGGCTGTAGAGTCTCCTTACAGAAATGAATAAACAGAAGAATCCACAAATCGAAAGGTGAATAAATTAAAATTAAGATACAAAAATGCGAGGATGAAGATTAAATTTGTTTTTTGATATTTTCGAATGATAAATCAGTATGCTTGTCAATTTGTTCATTATTTTACACCTTGAGAAACGAGACACCTCCATCGTTCATTTTCGCAAGCCGGTACGTCGACTTTTCTCACCTTTACGACGCATGCGAACGATATTACCATGCCAAAGACAGCACGAGGGGTTTATTGAGATTTTAGAATTTACTGATGTGATCCGGGATCGACGTATCCTGTCTCGGTGAGCGGATCCGCCTTGTCCTTCGGCGGTTCCTCAGGTTCCTGGTTCGAAGACAACCCGCATGGCTCGCGCCACGTATATAAGTCAAAACCAGATCGTGAATAAGGTGCACAGCCCGGACAGTCCTTCAGCCAGCAAGGAGGTCGACAGAGACACACCGAGCACGATGCAGGCCTTGGTAAGCACTGTCGATCCTTCCTTCAGTTTAGAAGTCTCTTTAAATTTTTCCATTTTGGAAGAACTTCAGTTCTTTTAATGTCTAAATGTTTAATCTTATTTCTTTAAGCCTTAAAGTAGACATTTCGATATTGGGTATTATTATGTAGAGTAGAAGAGAATTAGCTTATAACAAATTAGATATTTTGCATAATTGATAAATATTAAAATTATCAAAACAATCAAGATACATCGTTATAAATTTAAGTTAAACATAATTATAATTTTTAAACATTATCTTTAAAAAATTACTCAAATTTATGTGCATAGAATTCTAGTAGACTTAACCAGAAAATTTTGATTCGTTCATTTTCAATAAGAATTTTTAATTCAACCAAACATTTTTCTTAGTGTTATTACAACATGTAAATCATTAAGTTGATAAGTTTTTATTTTTCTCTCTCCTTTATCCTTCAAAAAAAATGTAGTATATACTTAAATAATAAAAATTAATTATTGATAATTCCAATATTGAACATAACGTATAATTTAGCAAGACATTAATTTTTTGTTAAATAGCATTTGTTGATTTATTTTTAGATCATGTGTTTACATCTACATCTGTGCATGTAAGAAAAATCGCAGAACGTATATAGATTTTTGTAGAGACATTTTTTTCTGGTTTATTGTACGTGGCACTAAAAGTGAAACATCAAAGTCTTTATTACAGATGACATCGAGTTAAATAGCAGCGGAGCGAATATTCGCGGGAGTGATATACGAGCGTTATAATTTATTTGCAAGAGTTGTTCTTACGCGAGGCCTGTCGGTTTACTTGCTTTTTGCCGAGATATAAAAGCACGGAAAAATATACGTGTGTAAAATCCGCGGTACGAGAGCACGACCACCGCGCGTGTTTTACGGCGATGGAGTCTTTGCCAAATGGTACTCTTATCCAACATCAACGTAGAAAGGGGTAGAACCCTGCTGTTTTTGCTGGCCTTTTGCAAGATACTTCTGTCCGGCCTTGCGGGGTACAACGTTACAACTGTTTCACAACTTTTTGTTCAACATTTATAGGTGGCTTAAATTGCTAGACACGTTGCAGACACTGCAACAGTTTCGAAGAATTCTCTTCTAAAGTTGCTCGTTTGAATGAATGGAGATTTAAAATTCCAACCGTGGGTTGGAAACTACAATTTTGAAATTTTTCATTTGAGCAAATTTTTTTTTGCAATACATCATTTTGTTTAGTAAAATTTTGTGTAATTTATCATATTGAATAGAATTTGTTTAATGACATACTATATATTATATTGTCTTTGTAACAGAGTCAATTATTGACCTACAAAACATAAACAGTAACATTTTACATGAAAAGAATAGTTTTGCTGAAGTATCTAAAATTTTAATTAGATACAAATTTAATAATAATTTTGTTGGATCATTAAAATAATTATGTAGTCCAAATTGATTGCTAGAATGTCAAAACATTTTGCATGCTTGAGATTTTTGAATTTTTGATTTTGAGAAAATTGTCTTGATGGTTCAATGAAATTATTTTAAAATCTGTATCTAGTTAAACTTTTAGTTACTTTAGTAAAATTGTTCTTTCAGTGCATCAATATGTTATAATTTTATATTTAATAATATTTAACAGTTGTTATGTATAACAACTGTTATATTACGTTTATATTGATGAGTAGGAAATTATAATATTTATGTAAAGTTATTATTAAATGTGTTCTGCAGATGTACTCAATTATTTTAATTATAATTATTTTAAGAAATTCTTAATTATCAATTCGTTATTTGTCTTATCTGTGAATAAAACCTAGGTTTTCGTCTGATAGGTACTCGCCGATAAGTTGCACTCGTATCAAGAGACGCAGAGAGTTTAAAAGGAAAATATAAATTGTAGTTATCGATTCTTTTCTTCTTCTTACGGCTCCGCTGTAAAGAATTGTTCTCTATCACTTTTCTTCTTACCGAACGGTCCGTCGCCACTTCTTCATATTCTTTTATATTAGACCATAAAGAGCGGCAAGTATAAACTCACCCTGTTCCACACTCGCTTGCTTTGTTCCCACGTCTTCTACTGATATCGAGGACGTAAAAATTCATCGGATATTTCGTTACCAACTATTCGCCGCGGTGAACGCGAGGAATCTTCTCTTTCTCTTGTCCTCTGAGAGAACGAAATTCCCGACGCGGTAATTCTCGCGGTATTCTATGAGAACATGTCCCAGGAACGTTCGCTAGCTAGTTGCGCGAGTAAATCCACTGACGCGACGATTGCATGCAAAATGAGTGTTCCGAGGGCGAGTGTACTTACGATTTGCATTTGTTACGCGATAAAATGTACTCGACCGAATTTTCTGTGCCGGAACGAATGCGCATAATGCACGTGTAATGTATCGTACTCTTGCGTATTGTCGTATCTATCCTCCCGACGAATCTACGATATCGAGTAACGAGATATCATTTGTAGAACCGATGTCTTGAGAAGAGTTACTACATCTAAATAACAAAATATATACATGTACATTTTTTTTAAAAAAGGTAATGATCTGGAAGCAGAATTTTTTATGCGTTAAATGTATTTAATAAAGTAAAATTTCTAGAGCACAATTTTTTTTGACAATTCTTATTAAAGGTGTATTATATATATTTTCTCTCATAGTAATGAAAAAATTATGAAAAAGTATAAATTATTCTAGATCGCTTTTAAAAGTAATACAAAAAAGTTTAACGATTCATTATCTGGATCCAATATTATTTCAATAAGTAATAGGTATTTTTTAAATCTGTACTCTAATAGAAATGTATTATAAAATAGTGATAAAAGTCTTAATTTTTTATACAAGTGTTTTAAATATTTGAGATTTATATAAAGTTACATTGCAGAGATTAGTTATTCTGTAAATAAACAAAGTATTTATTTCTTCTAAATCTTTGTAACTATAATCTCTGAATTGCAATGAAATTTTTCACATAAATAATTTTGAATACTTAAAGTACTTATACAAAAAAATTGAAATTTTTGTCATTGTTTTTTCCAATTTTAATTTATAACAATAAAAATAATAAGGAAAATAAACAATAAAAATGTATTATTAAAAAAATATATTGGTATAAACACAACTTTCTTATACATTTATTTAAAGTTTATTTAAAGTATAAATATTAACACATTTGTGAAAAAAAAGATGTAATACATCCTTAATACAAATTTATAGATATAAATTAATTAATGACTTTATAGATATAAATTAATTAATAACCTGAAGTTTATACGATCTCAAAAAGAGTACATGTACTCTTAAAAAGGTATGGCTGGGAATTCTAACCAGGATGATCATAGGGATATCGAGGTTCTATATAAGCAAATGGCAGGCGCATGCAATAAGTGCATCGATATAGAACACGTACAATTATCGCTTTGCAATTTTAGCTGAGTATGATCCACACGATAAAATATATAGAAGGTCTGTTCTTAGGTCCGTTCTTTAACTGAACTTCTTGTATCGTTTATTTTTTTCTCTCTTTTTCTCCAACGTGAAGAGAAAACGAGGAAAAAGATGAAGTAAGAAGTTTAGCTGAAAAGATCATAGATCTATTCTTTTAAGCTAAACTTCTTGCATGGTTCATCTTTCCTCTTTTTATCTCCAAGATAGAAGAAGTTCAACTAAACAGGCTTAGAGTAAAAATCGCATCGTATCATACGAACGTAAATCTCGATCGAGGAGACAGTTTCGAAAAATGGCTCAGTGTTCGTCTAAAATACATGGACTAAGTTTGGCGAGTTTGACTAAGAAGTAATAAGAGTAGGAGTGTATGAATATGCAATTGTAGTAATTTTTGATATATTTGTAACACTGGTTGACAATCTTACTGTAATTGGTTGAGCGTAAGGGATGGAATTGGAGTAAAAAAGACTTATTTCTATTATAGGAATTAGACTAATAAATTAAGAGAAACAATCCTATTTTTGATCGAAATGAATCTTGGTGCTTAATATTCATATGCAAATTTTTGCGGATAAATTTTTCATTAACTGCGTTATCGATATTCGGTTTGTCGGACTTGAAACGCAATCGGAAATTAATTAAAATATTAAAATAAAGTTAAAATATTAATATCTCAAATTACATTGATCGTCAATTTAATAATGATGCTAATAAGCATCTTAAAAACCTGTAAGGAATTTATTGCAAAATATTCTTGCGCCTATACTTAGCTCTCTTACATACAGGAAGTATGTTAGGTACTTTACACCAAGCTTATTCCGTATATTGCAAACGGTATATTGTAGACGGTACCACTTCTACGCGTGGCAAAAATGATCTTGGATGCTGGTCAGCTTCCGTATTCTCGAGGTAAGAGCCTATTGTTTGAACTCTGCAGATTCCAGTTTTCGCGATTCTTGGCGTGACGGCGGGTGCGCAGCTGACCCTGCTGCCCTATGCCTATCTGGCGGATCCGCTTCCGGTGTACCATCAGTCGCAGGACACGCGTGCCGGGATACATGCGTACAGCTACGCCGGCGGCCCGTCTGCCAAAGAGGAAGTCCGGGATCTCGACGGGGTCACGCGCGGCTCCTATAGCTACGTAGACGCTCACGGTATCCTGCAATCCGTCTTCTACGTCGCGGATGAGGGCGGCTTCCGCGTCGCGGCGACAAATCTTCCTACCGACGATAATCTACAGCTCGAGACCAGCAAGGTCCTGTTAGCCAGGTACGCCCACCCGCAGGAACTCGTGAAGGCCGCCACCGAGGAGGAGAAGGGACATTTAGTGAGCCGCAGGAAGCGTAGTCTCGAAGCATCGACCGATCAAGATCATCAGACAGAAAATCCGAGTTCTCAGGGAGATCAGGCCGATCGGGATTCAACGGCGATCGCCTCGCCGAAGAGTTCCCACGAGCTTCCAGCGCCGGAGGAAAAATCCGACAAAGGTCGGACCAATCGCGACGCCGCGGGGCCCGTATACGGCCCCGTATACGGCCTGCTAGACTCGGCTCTGATCCCGAGATTGACTGGAGCGGCGACTTCTCATCAGAGCCGCGTCGATGTTCACAATAACATTCGTTTGAAGGCCGTTCAATCTATCAAGACGATCGGAGTCCTGTCGGAACCTGCCGAGACGGTGATCCTTCCCAGTCAGGTACCTTTGGCGACCTCTCATCAGAGTCGCGTCCAGGTACATAACAATCTTCGCGTCGAGGTGCCGGAAAAACTCGTCAATGTAGAAACGATCGAGGTTCAGCCGCAGATAGCGGAGGCGGCCGCCGTCAAGTTGGAGCCGCTTTCGTTCGTTTCTGATTTTTCCGATTACAATGAAAATCGGATTCAGCTTCACAGAAATCTCGGATTGGAAGGCTCAAATCGCAAGGATGCCGTGAAGATGGACGCGGCACAGCTGGCCATCGTCGAGACGCCAATCGCCGCTGTTCCGGTCGCCAAGGAACCGGTTCCTGTCGTCGTCAATGAAGCAGTTCCGGTGATCGCCAAGCAGGCACTTCCGGTTCTCACCAAGGAACCGGTTCCTGTCGTCGTCAATGAAGCAGTTCCGGTGATCGCCAAGCAGGCACTTCCGGTCCTCGCCAAGGAACCGGTTCCTGTCGTCGTCAATGAAGCAGTTCCAGTGATCGCCAAGCAGACACTTCCGGTCCTCGCCAAGGAATCAGTTCCTGTTGTTGTCAATGAAGCAGTTTCGGTCGTCGCCAAGCAAACACTTCCGGTCTTCGTCAAAGAAGCGATTCCAGTCGTCGTGAAGGAGACACTTCCAGTTGTCACTGCCATCTCCAACCAGAATAGGATTCAGATTCATCGCAATACCAAACTCGAAGCTGTACCGATCACGAGCGAACCGACCTTGTACTGGGCAACTTCCTATGCTCGACCGATCAGTACTTGGCCGATTTTAACACCCATTGCTCAATCCTCTCAATATCGCCATTAGATACACTCGAACGAGAAAATTGAATTCTCAAAATAAGAATTCGACCGTTTCGTTCGTTGATGTCGCGAGAATTTTCTTTGCGCGTTTATATTTATTTTTATTGGTAACTTTTAATAAATTTTTCGTAACATGATCGATATCTTGATTGATATCCTGTAATAATACCATTTTTTATTATAGTTTGACTCTTTACGAAATAAATTTCAAAATTTCTAAACATTTTATAGATATTTCATAGAATATTTCTTTAAATGAATCTGTATTTTTATTTTTTTTAAGTAAAAGTGGTTGTTAAAAGTAATATTGAAATCTCAAAATTAATCGTAACAAAAATCTAGACTTTAAAGAGTCAAAAGAAAACGCGCGGATATAAGTCATTTGCATCGTGCTTAAATAATTAGAATAAAATATTATATCTTCAGCGAGAGTTTCATGAATGACTGATTAATGACAAGCTCGTTCATGATAGCTCGCTCTTTGGACATCATTATTATTCGTTCCCGTCTTGCATTCATTTATCATGTAACAAGCATCTTACAACCTGTTAAATTATTGTACGATTATACGATCTTCGTCCGATTCATTAAAAACACATCGTCAATCTTTTGTGTATAAATTATTACCTTTCTCTTGTATAAATTGTCATCTTCCTCCATACATAGACATTTGTAGCTTTCCATTAACGCTTTTCAAAAACTCAGATAATTCTCATTTGACGACTTTTGATAACTCAGTTGAATGCACTTCCTTTTCATTCTGACGAGTGAGTTTTTATCTACAATCTGCATAAACTCGAGACTGTGTACTTTACTGAGAATTGTTAACTTACATTAAAAGTGAAGTTTATAAATCTGTGTTGTTATGAGATAACATTATTTTTACTAAACTAAGCAAGTAGTGACGTCATTATCTGAGTATAAAATACTTACATAACTTTTGATTCATTATCAGTATCATTTGTGGGAAAATAAAAAATTATTATTGTAATATTGAGCTTAATCGAATCTTTATCGTTCGGATACGCTGCATAATGCTCAATGTCGATCCGGATGAGAATTTAAATTGATATGTTCAACTGTTCTGCGAGAACAATGAGTGGATCTCCGACTTTGAAGAATAATCGGCGCATTTATTCAAATCACACCTTTAATTAACCACACCGAGTCCGATTCGTTTCCTTTGAACGCGGAATTTATATCAATCCCTAATCCTGGGATCAGGGTGGGTATTCTTTTACGATCGACTGCGTCGGACAATTTGTCGTCGCCGCTTTACGCCCGATATGAACATCGCGACCTTGACATCGGATTCTTACCGTCGCGAATATATTACGGCGTTAAAACTTTCATGCATGGATATCGCGTGTCTGTTGAGTAACGATGAGATTAACGGAGGAATATACGCGAGCGAATCCAGCATGTGTCCCGTGCACTTATCCGCGTTCTTATGATGGAAATTTTTCTAAGTCGCGTATTCGCATGCCGGAGAGAGGCATCTGACAGGATTATTTTCTGCAGGTGGTACTGAGTGCTTCGGGTACGTTGGGTCGAGTTTTACGAGCGAGATGTAAGAACAAGGAGAACGTTTTATAGAGATGTAAATATCGATTCATTCCAGATGAGCTTATCCGCTTCTCGGATTTGTAAATCATTGTCGTGAAATAGAAATTCGTATCTGCTTTTGCAAGAATTTATACCGTAATTACTTTATATTCTTTAATTTATTAACATTTTTCATTTATGTATATACATTATGTATAATGTTGTAATTATATCGTTCCAACTCCAATAGTATTATTAAATTATTATTATATTATTATATATAATTATTACAGAGGGAATAATTTTCGTAACTATTAAATTATTGTACAATTTCTAAATGATTGTCGTCATTTTTTTATATAATAATATATAATAAATCATGGATATTTGGAAATATATTGTAATTTGCAATGTTGGAGAATAGAAATTATAAAAATTCGTAACTTCGCAGTAAAAAGTTAAAAATTTCTATTATAATCTATTAGACAGAATCGAAAGTCTGAAAATAATTCTTTTTGATTTCCTGAACTGACTTACTGAAATAAATTCCTGTTCCATCCTATTTCTGTTCTAAAGATATTCCTGGGAGTCCCGAAAGATTTTACTTTTATGTCATCAATTGTGATTGTGAGCACTTTATCAGATTTAAAAGGTAATCTTTTTCTAGTCTATATATGAATTCGCAATATAAAATCGAAATAACTTTCAGATAGTATTCTGGACAAGAAGTAAAAAAGTATACTTTTATAGGATTATATTTTGACTACTAGAAAAGATTTTTTTTTTAGTTTATTTCGAACAGATTACATCACTTAAAAAGATGTGAATACTCTTTGTAAATTCAAATGAACTAAATGTAGGGGTGGACATAACGCCATCCCTAAAATCCCAAGCTTTTACCTTCAAAGGAAGGTGGAGGCACTCAGGATGTCGTAAATGTATATACATGACTGTTTGCAAAACGACGACCGGATTAGGCCAACGAGCAGATAAACAAGTGTTTATGGGCGAGAGGGCCGAGCAAGAGGAGGCGAGCGGCGATTCGAGATCAGAATTTGATTGGGGAAACACATCCGCCAGCGAAATCTGGGATAATTTTGCGCTCGTAAATATCGTTACGAATCTCACACGAACCCGTTTTCTCGACTCACGCGGGTTATTTTCGCGAGCGTTGCATACGCACGCACGTGCGTACTTATGTACGTACATGCGTGCGTGCGTGGGCGCGCATAACGGATGATTCGTGAGAAGGCCGTTGAAACGTTCCGTAGATTATTCCGGATCGAACGCATTACGGGCGCGTAGTAAGTACCTAGTAATATTCCTTTATTGTCGAACCTCGGTGCCGCCCTTCGTATTAGCTTTAATAAAACGCCGTATAAATTCTCGAAGTTTTTTTTTTTTTTTCCCCCGCGCGCGGATTTAGCCCGTGAGTATTTGTAACACGGGAGTGTGGTAAATGCGAAATAATAATGGTCGCCATAAATCACACGCGGTTCCAATATTTCTATCGGGGCCAGAGAGCTACGTAGGAGATAAATGTAGCGCAGGTACACGATGCAGAAATGGAATTGCCATAAACCCGCGGGTACTTTGTCCCTCAGGATATTATATTGTCCCGTCCTGGGAGGAAACGAACCGATATCTGGATCAGAGTTTCAGAGAGGAGCAGCTCCGGAGTATTATCTCGCAGAAACACACCGTGAAACATGCACGTATTAGATTAAAGAAATATAGTCAGTACTCACATAGGGAGATCACATATCAGGCTATTACGGACAGAGGGATGTAAGCGAGCAGGATTCAGTTTTCTCGTCGAAAATCCGACTTTCCGAAATGATCCGTTCTAATCTATTTCCGTTCTCCGCCTCGAAATTCGAGTCGCGTATTCATTAAACTGACGGCGGGGGAACGCGATATTGGAGATCCATCTCCCGGGAAAATCGGCTTTCGTTCATCCGAAGTCCACCGCGACGGCGGAGGTCGAGGTAGAACTTAACGGGCGAACGGACGAAGGTGGGAAGGCACGACGATTCACACTCGCGATAATAGAAACGTCCAAGTACGTAGCGCACGTAGGTATTCGCGCCGATAAAAGCCGCGCATACGTTACCTCGCGCCCGCGCGCGGATGGCCCGCGACCGATAAAGCGTCTCGGATAATGATTTCCGAGGCATTCGGCCGCGTGTGTATAATATACAGGCCATGTATCTAGATTGTTCGTGTCACGCGAGATGTTTATGTCCGAGATTGCGTTTCCGCGTGCGTTCACCCAAAATGGAATCCTCGTGTAAACTTGCATCACCCCCGAAGTGACTGGACGCGAACAAGCCGAGGAACTCCGATCAATGAATGGACTCTGTCACAAACTTGTTCCTGAGAGAAAACGTGGTATAATGTATAGAATGGTTTTGCTGAAGTATCTAAAAATTTAGCTATATAGATAGAATCTGAAAATAACTTTGTGGAACTTTCAAAATAATTGTGTAAGACGTTCAAACTGATTACTAAAACGTCAAAACTTTTTACATCATTACTTGTCATGCTTGAATTTATTATATATATATATATATATAATTATTTTGATGATCCAAAAAATTATTTTTTCATCTTATCTATCTACATTTTTGGATATTTCAGCAAGATCGATTGTTTTCATGTTTAATATGCCGATATTAGTAATTAAATAAATTAAAACAAGAATGTTTTATTGATGTATACTTTTGTGGATATTCTTATGTCTCCTTTTTTTGTTTCTATTGGTCTTTCACTGTTGATTTTTGTATTTATCGAATTTTTCTATTTTCTATTTTTATGTTTTATTATTTATCTATTTAAACATTGTGCTAATTCTGATCTGATTTTATTGGCCGAAGAAGACTCTGTGAGTCGAAACCCAATTAAATATTAATATTGATTATAATTTGAAATAAATGTTCTAATTATTTTTCATTTATACCGTTTTGATTGTTATTCCCTTTTATCATTGTGCTTTTTAAAAGAAGAAAGCTTTTAATTGAAAGAATATAAATGTGTCGTTTATAGTTATATAAATTAACATATTATTATAATTAATAATAAAATTTCCACCACGAAATTTTATTATGTAAAATTGAGAAGAAATGTCTTACAATTAAATAAGAATCGAATTCTAATGGGCTGCTAATTGTTCGATTGTATCATATTAAAAAGAAATTTTAAAGTAAGATGAATGAAGTCAAAAGATAATTAGAAAGAGACTCACACATTTATAATGTGAAAGTTTTTTATATTATAAGATGCTATTAATATAATTAATATAATTTATTAAAGTTGACTTTCTCTCTCTCTCTCTCTCGAGTTGTTTGGTGAATCGGCGTGCTATCCATATTTGCGTTTTTTATTCGCATGAAGTATAGTCGGAACATCTCGATAATGGGACGAAAAGAAGAAACGTTTCTGCTCACGCCGCAATTTCTGTGAGTCAAGCCTACGATGCTGGTGATATGAGAAAATTAATCTTACGTGCGCCTTCCACAGCAATCTCACGTCACGATCTATGTGTGATCCACTTTTGCTTATCTACAGTACGAAAATTTCACGAATCTCGT